TGTTGGGCTGGGGACATAGCTCAGGAGCAACTGGTGCATGAGTCCCTGGGCTCCAGCAAAAAAAAAAAAAAAAAAGAACTGTGAGCTCTGAGACAGGCGAGATGCCTGCATCCTGGGAAGGTGGAACCACCACTGGGATGGAAGGAAGCAGCCCACCAAAGTGCAGAAGGCAGCTGGGGCCAGGGTGAGGCTGGAGAGGAATACCACTAGGGCCTGGGCTCCAGCTGAGGTTCTAAGGTTCCATGGCCTATGTGCTTAGCAGTCGAGAACACCGAAGAGACGTTTTTCACAGCATGGCAAGCTTGAGCCCTGTTCTAACACCTTCTCTGAAAATGTTTCAACTCAATTCACAGACCCTGTTTCAACACTACAGCTGAAGTTACTCAGAAGTGTTGGAGCCTGCAGCTGGGCGCAGTTGTGAGGACAGCCTAGGCAACTTAGCAAAACCCCTGTCTCAAAAGAATAAAAGAAATGGAATTCAAAAAACAATATTCCAAAATCTGGAACCCTGGCATGCTGAGTATTTTGAACTGAAGGTCATCAGAGGGATCACAGAAGCAGCCCTAAGGTCTCACCACCTCCTGTCCTCCTGACTCTCCACTTCTTTCTCCCCTTGAAATGATTAATTGAAACCAGAATTCCTTTTCCCCAAAGCAGGTCACAGGAACTAGAAATATTACTTCTCTGACTCTGACCATAAAAGCCTCATTCTGGGGGGGAGTCCTGCCATGTGCTCTAGAGGCAGGAATGATGCACAGAAGCCAAGAAGCATCTGGGCAGACAGGCTCACTTGGGCTGTTAGGTCAGATCGCAGCCTTGTGTTCAATCTCATGTCTACACAGCTGTCCATGTGCATTAAACCCAAGGGCTAATCAGTTCCACACCTTTCCACACTAAAGAAACACTGTCCCACAGGTGAATAAAAGCTGCCAGGAAGATGCTAAAAGGATGCTTACCCCAATGGTAGATGTGAGGACCTTTACAAAGATCTCTAATTGATGAATTTGCCTGTTAAATGCCATTGTGTAACACACACAGGGCTTATCTAAATGGAAAATGCTATTTTTAATTGAATATCATCTCTTTGTTTAACAAGTCAAGATTCTGTGCTCCTTCGACTAATGTAATTTTTCTTCCTCTAAACCAAGAACAATTTTAATGAGATTATGCTACTGAATTCATTTTCAGTATATCACAGGCTTCTAATATCAGAACCTGTGCAATGGCAGAGACACAGAACTGGCCCCCAAATATTTACTCTACAGCCCTCTGCAGAAAGAATGTGACGACTGGACTAGGCCAGCAGCAGCCCCTTCCTCTTTGGGCCATGCCTTGCTTCTGCCTATGACATCACCTTCACATGCGCATGTGTGAGGGGGCAGACGGGAGTGCAAGCACATGTGATGCCCAGGGTAGCAAGTGTGGCTGCCTCAAGCACCTAATTGGGCCAATGCTCACATACAACCTTGCACTCCACCCCCATCCAAAAGGGAGGCTTGCCAGAGATGGACTTCCTGTCCACTGTGTAGCCTCTGTCCCCCTACACTCACGACCTGCCCCTCCATAAGAGCCCCGCTGGAGCTCACCTCTCCCTAGAGCCTCAACGTGAACTCCAACTCAGAGCAGAGGTTTCAGAAGGCCACGGCTAACACCAGCTCCAACCTTCAGGCTGTCAACCTCACTCTTCCCTTCAAACACTCGCCTGCTGGGCCTCACACACTGCACCACAGCTGCACCTGCTGCACAGAAATCTCACTTTTATCCATTTGTCAGCTGAGTAAATTAAGAGCCTATCATTTCAGGGTGATGAAAGGGCTCTATACTTAAATAGTAGTGATGTTGCACAACTGTGAATATGCTAAGGTCCACTATAATAGGGTAGAGTTTATGGCATGCAAATTATCTCAAAGAAATTAAAACAAACTTTTAAAATGTATGATTATCAAAAAGTACTAACTTCTTATACTTTATTAAAAAAAAAAAACAATCAAATACTGATGAACGAAAACACTAAGGACTGGGGCTGGGGTTGTAACTAAACAGTAGAGCACTTGTTTAGCACGTACGAGGCCCTGGGTTTGATCCTCAGCACCACATAAAAACAAATAAATAAAATAAAGGTATTGTGTCCAACTAAAAAATAAATATTTTCAAAAACAAAAGAGGCTGGGGTTATGGCTCAGTGGTACAGTGCTCACCTACCAAGCACTGGGTTCGATCCTCAGCACCACATAAAAATAAAGATATTGTGTCCACCTATAACTAAAAAATAAATATAAAAAAGGAAAACACTAAGGAGTTTAATAATGAGGCTACATAATAAATTTCCCAAAAACTTAAGCATGAATCACCATGTGTTGTTCACCCTGGTTTTGTGAGTCAGGGATCTGGACAGGGCACAGAGGGTGATGAGTCTGCTCCTCGGCATCCAAGGCCTTAGCTAAAGGAGAGAAAGCTAGACTCTCTCGCATGCCAAGTAGCTGCTGATTATGGGTCTCACTGAGCAGTCTTCTTGCATGGGCCAGATGGGCTTCCTCCAGCTTGGCACATGGCTTTCCCCAGAGCAAGTAACCCAAACAGAGAAGCCAGGCAAAAACTGTACCCTGTTTAAGACCTGGCTCAGAAGTCACACAGAGTCATTTTGCCAGGTTGTAAGGTGAGGCAGGTCACAAGCCCAGCCCAGGTTCACAGCAAAGGAACAGAGACTCCACCTCTTCATAAAAATACCACATAAGAAGGGAATGTCACTGAAGCCATTTAAGAAAATGCAGCCTGCCACCCTGAGTTCTAGGTTAAATCTCAACCTGGTTCAAAAGCTGAAGGGTTACTCAGAATCTGGCTAGAAAATCAATGTGCATCTCACCCTTGTAAGCTAACCTCTTCTTCCTTATAGTAAGTATGTGTAAGGTGAACCTCCTGTCTCCATGTCACCCTGCCTGAGGAAGTCCAGCATCATGGTCCTAACTCAGCAGTGATGCCTCTCTCTGGTGCTCCAGGTGACTTCTGGGTCCTGTAGCCCTTGTTTAGAAAGCAGAAATGCCAGAGGTCACGCCCTCCATCCTCTCCTGCGGGTATCTCCAGCATCCTCAGCAGACGTTCAATAAGTGACCCAAGAAAGAATGAAGGGAAGGCAGGAAATATTCCTGTTCTAGGTTAAAGAGCTCCAAGCAGAGCCCACTGCTGTGACAGGTTCCCTCAGGAAGCAAGCTCCTGCCAGGACAGCAGCCCTCGGGAGCAGGTTTCTGCACCTAATTTGGTTCTGACCTTCTCTGGAACCTTCACCACATGGCATAACTTCTTTGGACCTCAGTTTCTTCATCTGCAAAACAGGAATAAAACTGGACAGACTCTTCACCAAGGCCCACAGGTGAGCCCCAGCAATCTGCCGACTGAGACATGCCAGAAAGACCAGTAGCCTCCAGTCCTCAAGTTTAAGCTGCATGAACGGAATGCTGAGTGACAAGAGGATGATCCTAGGGGAGGAAGATCCTGCTGCCAGACCCTGCAGAAACACTGTCCCTGGGCTTCAACCCTCTCACCTCAGACCCCCTCAATGTGTACTCAAGAGTTCAATAGAGTTTAGATGCATGAATTGTTTTCAAAGAAACAGCTACAGATAATTCCAACAATCACCAAACAATCCACTAGAAAGACAATAGGCCCTTGTTTTTACCCTCTCAAGTTTGACATTTTGAACACCGCAGCCCTCCAAATCAACCACCACCCCTCTGGAAACAAGTAGCAGGGCTGCATCCCAGGTGTCAGGGTCTCCACAACCTGGGATGTGCTACAGAAAGAAGCTCTCCACATAAACAGAGCTCCCTCAGGAGCTGGCCACAGCAGCCCATGCCTGTGACTCCAGCAACTCGAGGGCTCAGGCAAGAGGATCATAAGTTCAAGGCCAGCCTCAGCAACTTAGCACAACCCTGTCTCAAAATAAAAAAATAAAAAAGGCTGGAGGTGTAGTTCAGCAGTAGAACACCTCTAGGTTCAATCCCCAGTACCTCAAAAAATAAATAAAAGAAAAAAAGCAAGCATCAGGACCCCACCAGCATGTGAGGCTGCAACTACACTCTTAGGGATGCTGAACTATCACCCACCCTCAGGAGGCACAACCACACCAGCCCACAGACTAAGGCAGTAAGACACCACACAAACACTAGTTCCCCAACCCGAAGCTAAAAGACCACATCTCAGCCATGGTCTGTTGCCAGGAATCAAGAGTCAAGGCAGATGTCACTAGAGAAAGAACTAAGCAGAATGGCTGAGGCTGGTAGAGGAAAGCTGAGCACATTCACTCATCACAAATGCAGGTTCTCAGCTGGAAAACCTCACTTAATAGGCCAGCAGGTTCAGAACCCATTCATAAGCTTTCCAGAATGCATGCAGTTGCCATGGTAACACTGCCATTATATTTCTTGGTGTTGGACATGTAAAATTACCACCCATAATGCATTTAATACAGTTTGAGGCCACCAATTCACAGCAAAATAAATCTGAGTTCAGATACTGGCTTCCCTCTTACATAAACAAAGAGGACCAGCCAGAGGGGTATCCACCTCGCCCCATGCATGAGCACAGAGCTCACAATTGAGAAAATGTTCATCCAAAGACAAAATAAGAACTGAGGGAATCTGACTTCCTCACTTACTGGCATATGGTAGAGATGGTAACAATGAAATGTTCCCTGACACATTAATGAAATGTCGTCATTTCAAAGCAAATATATTCTAGTCTATACCTACATCTCTGAAATTTAACTGTTTAGAAAGCCAAAGAAAAAGCATTTCTTTTCAAAGAACATCTTCAGTAATTCACTAAGAAAGCATGTGTCCACACTAAATAAGATAATTCTTCAGATGTCAAAACTGTCCTTAACAAGTAATAAAGTTTTATTTATTAGGTTCAAAAAGGGATCTATTCAACTGTAATTCTTTATTTTGACTCAGTATGTTCATAAACATTTAATACATACATGCATGATTTGTAAAGTCCCTTACCTTTTTACAGTCCACCATCTGGACACAAGAGGTGAAAGCAAAATGATCAGGTACGAACTGCAAAGGCATCTTCAATCTCAGCTTCCCAAGGAAGCCCACTGCACCAGCACACGGAGCTGCTGCAGGGCCAGCCTGTGCTAGCCACAGCACTCACTAAAGCACCTGCATTCTCATCACTCAACCGCAGTCCTGGGGAGTATTAGCTCCATCATCTCCCTTTCAGATCACAGGCAGCAGGCAGCAATGTGGAGGGGCACAAAAGACTCCACCGCGGGCGGTTTCCATATTAACAGGGACTGGTAACCGCTGCATTGCAGTCTTTCTGAAAGCTACCAACCTCAGAAGCAAAGGCACGCGAGAGAGAGACTCTGGCAGAGGAAGCTGCCTTTGGAATCACAGAGATTTTTTAAGGATCTTTAAAAAAAAAAAAAAAATGTTGCAAACCCCTGGGGGCATTTCTGGACTTCAGTCTCCTAAAGGTTGACTGGTATGTGGTTTTGACTAGGGGAGGGCTATGACAGACAATTGAGATGAGTACAATGCTAAGAATAAACCATGCATTATGCCATGCCAGCCTAATGCTCAAGTACTCCCGTGAGAACCCTGCACATCTGCTGCTGAACTCCAGCTGCAAAGCCCCACTGAGGAGCTGCTGGGAACCAGCCATGACTTTCCATTTCAAAAAAATGCATGCACAGCAATCATGTCTGGTTCCCATGTCAGCAGCAATCACTTGGACACCCAGCTACCTTTCAGTATAGTAAAAACCCTTTCATGGTCAGAGCACTTGAAATATTAAACCATCGACCACGCAGTTTATACAGTGACTTCCAAAACAGCAGCTTCCACTTACAAAGTGACCTTTGATTTTCATTCATTCACTCAGTACATTCAGTGAGCCCTGGCCATGTGCTACATGTGAAAGGAGATGCAGGTAAGAAAAATGCAGCCAGTGGTTACATGTCTTCCTGTGAGAAGATGAATGGAAACAAGTCATTCCAAGCCTAAGGACAAGCACTAGGGAGAAGGCCAGCACCACGGGAGGAGAACTATAGCTATTCTTGGGGTCCAGAAGGGATCAGGACATTGTTCTACAAGGAAGGAGTATCTGACAGGAGCTGAAGGATGTGGACTGGGCTGGGAAAGGCAGAGACAGAGAAGAAGATCCTTGAGACAGTGGCACACACACTCCGCAGTATGTAGGAGTGGGTCCTCAGCAAGAGTGCACAGGCTCCACTGACTGACACGGCAGGAGCCATCTTACCTCACTGCACCCCTGAGCAGTTCTGCCAACCCCACAACTGACAGACATCTAAGTGTCCCACACTGGGGCACACGTTTGCCTGAGGCACATAGGGACCAACAAGAAGTGCCGGGATCTGAGCCTAAGGGCGGTTCTGGGTCACTTAATGCCATGACATTGCTCCTAACAGGTAACAGCTGCCTTCCAATGACCATGGCATGATTATTGTCTACCTAGCATCTGTCCAGATATGTTTTATCCTGCCCCATGCCCAATACTGCACAGGCCCTGGGTGAAGGACTGAATAAGTGAATGAACTGAGGACACTGCTGGTCACACCCTCATTCCAAGTCTGCATGAAGACCTGTGCACCCTACAGACATGCAGCTGTGATCTCTGGGGAGGACGCGCCTTCTCTCCACTTCCCATCCTAGGTTCTGAAGTCTTCCCTTCCAGGAAGTCTTTCCTGGCTCCCCTCCCAATCCTAGAGCAGGGCCCCTTACTCTGGGTTCCTGTTGTCCCCAAGGTCACCATATGGTGCTGAGTGGCAGTCAAGTTTTGTACCTGTGTGCCCACAGCACCATGCTGCAGCAACATTCAGACAGGGAAACCAAGACCCAGAGGAGCTAAATTATGAGTCAAAAGGGGAGACAGGACTCAAATCCAGGCCTTGGCCCTCACAGGCCACTTCCTAACCACCCTGGTTTCTGGTTTTATAGGTCCCAACGAAAGTGTGCTGACACTAACAGGACAATGCTGACCTATGGATGTGCAATGGATGGGGTTCATGGAAAAACTTTTAAGAAAATCACACCATCTTTCTACTGTGAGAAATTGAAACTCCGGTGGTCCATTTTCAGAATACAGTATTTTGCCTTAAATGTAAAACTGGCATGTTACAAAGGCAGCTGGATGGGAAAAAAAGCAGAAGAGAAGTTGCAAGAAGTTAACTCACACAGTAGCACTACAGTGGCAGATCCAAAGTCCAGGCACATGAATGACCCCCAGACAGGAAGTGGGGGAAGAGTGGGCCTGACCAACAGAGATGGAGCTCTATCATAAGAAATGGTAACATAGGTAAAGAAGTAAGAGCTGTGCAGGCAGACGTCAGAATGCATTCACCCCCAAGGAGGCTTTTCCGGCAATAAGAACACAGGGAGGAGAGGACAACCAAAGGTCTATTTCTTTAAGTAAACCAGCAAGAGACAGTAAAACCTAGGGACATTTAGAAAGACAAGTGCACCCCATAGTATTCAGCCAATGAGAAACCGGGGAGGGACCCTGAGGCTCTAGAGGGTAAAATGTTGACTGCACCCACTCTGGGTGTGCCCGACCATCAAGGCACCCTGATCTCGCAGGATGATCAATAAAGCCTCACTTCTCTGTGCCTTTGTCTCTCAGTCCATTATTGAAGTTTGGACAGGTGAGCATGTTTCTCTCACTGCCCCTGTCTCTCCCTTTCTAGGTGAGATATGAATGAGCAAATACAGTCACACTCCACACTGACATTCTGGCCACCGGACTGCCATACCCTATCCGCTTCAGCCTTCACAGCCAGCTTAGTATAAGCACTCCATAATGTTCACACAAGTCAACTAGTGACACATTTCTCAGAATGCACCCTGTTGCTGCGTAATGTGTGACTTCACGTTAGACACACCAGACACTTTCCAGTGTGAACTCCTGACTGACTAGGAGGATCTCACAGCCCGGTGGTGAAGAGCAGAGCAGAGCAGGAGCAGGAACAGAGGCAGTGCTGGGATGCTTTTCCTTCCCATCACTGTGCGTTTCAGACTCACTAGAGCAGTTTAAAAGCTTCAGAAGAACTTCTATCAGATGCCGCTAGGCCAATTTAGGTGGCACTCTGGGCACTCCCCACAGCAGTTCCAGCAGAACTCAACCTTTCAAGTTGACTAGGATCAAGGCTTGTCCTCTGTGGCAGTCTCACTCCCGCTAGCCCCAGGCAGCTGCAGTGGAGCAGGACAACTTCTTCACTGGATTGTCAGGCAGTGTCCCTGAGCCTGATGCAGGCAGACCCGGAACTCTGGCTTGAGTGGGCTTTGCCAGGGGACTCTGCAGAAAAGTAGGGGTCATGTGTCAAGATTCTTGTGCCTCCTGGAACAGGGGATGCCTGGAGAGATGGGGCTACCAGGGCTGTGATCTGGGGCAGTCCATGCAGGTGGAAAGAGATTGGCAGGGGGCATGAGTTGTTCCCAGGGCCAGTGGATAAAGATCAGAGAAAGAGTGCCCCATGCAAACCTCTGAACCACTTTTCAGCTTGATCCCTAAAAGCCAAGGGCAGTGACATCCAGTGCTCAGGTTTTAGGGTGCTAGCAGGCCTGTGGAGATGTCTTGCTGTCATCTACTCTGCAGATCAGGCAGCAAGACTCCAAAGGAGAGGTAATTTTCCAAGTGCTCCTAGGTACTCGAGCAGCACTGAGTGGTCTCAGCTGCGATCCTCTGGGCATGGTGTAACCTCCAGGTGGCAGCAGGGCCTGGTCTCCCTCTGGCACTGACCACGCCTGACCACTCACTCTCTCTCGAACTCTCCAAATCCCAGATGCCTGTCAAGGAAGGGAGTAAGACCTATCCTACAGGGGCTGGGGATATGGCTCAAGTAGTGGCGCATTCGCCTGGCATGCGTGAGGCACTGGGTTCGATTCTCTCAGCACCACATAAAAATAAAATAAAGATATTGTATCCACCTAAAGCTAAAAAAATAAATATATATAAAAAAAGACTTATCCTACAATCTTACTTGATTTGACTTTCGACTCTTTAGAATGCAAGTGAAAGGCTCCCTAAAGCACAGACTGACTCAAAATGTTAAGCATGACTTTTAAAAATAAGTCAGAGGGGGCAAGAGTTGTAGCTCATCGGTAGAGTGCTTGCCTGGTATGTATGAGGCCCTGGGTTCAATCCTCAGCACTGCATATAAATTAACAAAATAAAAGATTCATTGATAACTAAAAAATATTTTTTTTAAAAATACAGGCACAAAGCATTTGGTCATTGTTCCAAGCTTAACTCAGATTAAAAACATGTTGTGACCCCTCCAGGGCTCTCACCATTAACTAGAATGACCATGGCAAAACTTGTTCCTTTATTAATAGCAGTAATGAAATTAATACTCAAACAAATCAGCTAATATTGTTCATTCACATTTACACTCATCGATTCAAATCATGGAAATACCCACATAGGTGTCACCTGACAAAAGGCTAGAGAGCACCAATACCACCCTAAGGGGCTTTGCTTCAAAACTGCAACCTAGGTACCCAATTCAACACAAGAGCGCCAGGGAGCAAGTACACTGCCTGAAAGGAAGTCCAGGAGCAGGGGCTGAGGGATGAAAGATGTCCCCAAGAGAAAAGGAGGGAAAATAAAAAACTTGGGCATATTTATTCAGCTTGCACATATAATTATTTGTCAAAAACTTAACTGGGTACTCATCTGATAAGACCTCTCCTGACCACTAGATGTGATCTGGCATCAGGAAAGAAGAATGTTGTAATTCTGGCTGTTTCTCTGGCGAAGAGAGGATCCAAGGGTTTCAACCATGAAATACGAAGTTGCCGTTCTGAACAAGTCCCAGTCATTATAGAAGGGTTCTTTACAAATCTAAAGGGGACCTGAGCAGCAGGCACAAGCAGCATCAGGTGCTGATGCAAAAGCCTAGGTCACCCCCAAAATAAACAAAAGCCTGAGTCCACACAGAACACACAGAGCCTGCTCAGAGCAGCACTGCTCTTTTCTCAGTAAAAAACAGAAACAGCCCCTCATCTGTGAAGGGACTGACATACTCATGCAGGGACCCACAGTGTGCTAAATTACCAGAGGCCCAGCCGAAGACCACACACTGTGCAAGTCCTCCAAGAACAGGTCAGGGCACACAGCTCATGTGCTTGTTGGGGCTGGGTTGCTGCACAACACTGCTACCTAGTCAAGCTGCTGCTATTTAAAAAGCAGGCACAATCAGGCCAGAGGCCCAAACACTTAACCAGGTGCAGCTCAACCCCCATTAAAAATCAGAAAAGGACATGGTAATTGG